TTAAGCCTCACTCTTCTATGATCCTGCAGGCACGACTGTGAAGAAAGTACAGGTTAATGTGCACCCTGTGGCATGTCTGCACATGACTCGCAAACATTCTAAAAGCCTATCCATCCATTTAATTTTGCACTGAATTCAGGCATTTATTAAAGACGAGTAAGCATATGTATTCAACAGAGTTTCTACTAAGGCTGAAAAGATCAGAATTCAATTCACTTTACAATTCTTTTCTTCCCCCAGCCATATTATCTGATGATAATATGTAATGACAGTATCATGATTGAATTATTTTTGGTTTTACTGCTGTAAGCCTTATGTACTCCTAATCTTCACTAGCATTTGCTAAGCCCGTCATTCACCATGCAGATAGAAACTGAGAATGTGCCACCTTTCAAAGACCCTCGTTTCTAGATACATTTATATGGACACCAGCAAGAGATGGGAAACAAAGTGACAAGTGGTGGATCCTACTCTCTGGCTAAAATTATTAGCATTTGTATCTCCTAATGAATGATTTATGAAGGAAACAGAAACACTTATTTTTAATGTCTCTTGCTTGCACATCAGGAAGTAAAAAGAGTAGTAGAGCGCCAAAAATAAAACAAATGGCCAGTTCAGGTGCAGACAAAGAAAAGGAGCAAACATTTTCCTTGAAGTACAAATGCAATGCAAATTTACACCAACGCACTGAAAATTAATGAAATGTTTGCTGGTATCATGGGGGAGATGGACTAACAGTACTGCTTTGAGCCCAGCATCTCATAGGCATAATTTAGATAAACCACAAAGCCACGTAATGGGTGGTACAGAAAGAGAAATCTCACTTGAATTGCACTGACAAATGGCAATATAAACCCATGAATTTACTCTGTGAGAGCAAGGTAGTAAGTGCCTCTAAATGAAAGACAGCGTTTTCCTAATTAAGACAGAAGATACAAGGTAAGATGAGCGACAGCAAAAGGCTTAGAAGCAAAAGACATAAAATACCAAGACTGTAGGTGAAATAGTTTGTCCAACGCTTTAACGATTTATTGTTGATTTTTTAATCTTCCCAAAGAATCCTCTTTCTCTGGGATGTCAAAGCCAAGTAATTTCCTCCCCATCCCATTCTCGCACACACTGAGAGAGATGGAAATGCTAATATTTACAAGAAGCACAGAGCTTTCATGTTACTTCCACCATGGTTCAGTAGCTATGTAAGAAGTCTAGCAGTAAACAAGAAGTGGTTGTGTGTCTTGTGTTATTGTTATAGTACAAGGGGTCAGGAATCATGCATGTGGTTTTTGGCATACAGTCAAATCTACAGGACTGTTACAGAAAGTTTATTTTCACTGGCTGCTTACACAAGTGACTACAGGTGGCAGAGACCAACACGCTTGGATCAGCATTTCTGCACTACACAAAAAGTGACCTGTAAAAGTAGGAAAGTAGCGCTAAATTAAGAACAAAAAAAGGGAACAAAAAGACTGCCTTTCACTGAAGTGTAGTTGACTGAAGTGAGCACTATTGGAACACTCCAAATGTGAAGTGGCCGTTTCTTTCAAGAGCTTCTAACATATTCTTGAATACGATTGTTGAAAACTTTGACAATTTCCACCTAAACAGAGTTATAGTACACTATCACTATGGAAGCAGTTAAAAACACAAACACACACAAGAAAGCAAAACAAAACCACCACCACCTGAAAAACCAACTCAGTTTTAAACAGAAAAAGAAATTATTGTTCCACACTTCAAACTGTGGTAATTTGCTTGTTTAGCTAATTAAGCAATGAATTCAGGCATTTATAAAGAAGGAATACATGCAGTTCTTAAGAAGGGATACTATCAAAGCTCCAAGTGTCAGAATTTGACTAATTTTATCATCTTCTTTTATCTCCAAACTCAATATAAACCTACTTACAGGATTATTTGCAAGAAGTGCTTTAGCCAGGAAGATCAGCAAGAGTAACTCAACAGGAATGTTTGGCTAAAAAGTGACTTCCACTATCAAATTCTGAGGATGATATAATTATTTTTGAATAATTATATATCGCAGCCAGTCTCCCTTCCTTCCTCCTTCAAGGTCAGGGGAAATAAACCTTAATGAACCAGAAGTCTATTTCCTCCAAAAGACTTCTGTATTAGTAGGAAAGCAACTCACAAAACTGTCAAGCAATAGAACGGGTAGATGAGCCACGTACTACTGTGTGCTGGTTGCTACACTAAATTGATATGGAACTTTGAATAATAAGACTTTATTTACTTCCAGTGAATTAAGAAACTTAATTCTTTAGAAGTAGATTCACAGAGCAGCTGTTAAAAACAAGGCTGCACCGGTATTTTTCTTGATATAGAAAGAGAGGAGTGGCATTGCACAGCCTGGACTCCAAGCCCAGCTTTAGAGGTCTGCCCCCACAAGCAGCCACTTGCGGATTTCAGAGCTAACTGTGCTACTGAAACAAACAGTGCAGGCTATAATTTCTTTCAGTACAAATGATCTTAACTGCACCCACAATCTTGAGTGTTGTGGAAATTTTGAGTGGCTCCAGAAGAAGAATCAACCCCCAGAACACCAGGTGTTGGGCTTCTCATTTTCCCCTGCTTGAGAGCCTGCTCCTGCTTCCCCTCTCTTCCCACTCGCTCTCCTTTGCACAGTGCTCCCTCAGACCTTGCCTTCTGAGCCCACACCTCTGAGCTGTCAGCAGCTACCCACCTTCCTGCTTGCCTAACACCTCGCTCACCCTCATCTAACAATATCTGACACTCATCCTCAGCCTGTAATTTCTAGTCCGCTATTCCATATAAAACCATAACCTTCAATCTTGTTACCCTCCTCATACTCATTTTGTTTTCTTTCCACTCATTAAAACTCCCACTCATTACAAAATAGACAGTCCCACAACCCAGTTCTCCTTAACTCTTTAACAACCATCTCATTCCCTGTAACTCCCTCTTCATGCAATTGCTCTGCTCTCTTGGCTTCTGTGACCTACCTGAAAAGGCCCCCACTGCTCTCCACAAACTCCCAAGCCCTCCAGTCTCTTCTCTCAACTATTTTATTTCTATTTTCTATAATAAGATATGTACCAGTATTCTCATTATAGATCTCCAACATGATACCACGTCACTGAAGGCACTGGGGAAATATTCCTAGCAACATTTCACTGTGGTTTCCTCTGCTTTCCCTTCACCTCAAGAAAGCTGCCTCTTCCAACTCTATCGCACCCACACTCAAAAATCCACTGTCTGTCCCCGGCTTGTTATCTCAAGCCTCCAGATGGATGTCCCGACTTTTTCAAAGATAAATCTAACAAGATCTGACGTGATTTAGTTCTTTGACAATGCCAGAGGATGGGCAATTATTTGCACAAAGTCCCATCTAAAACATCTAAGAATGTCACGTTAGGCTGACTTAGGCTGATACCAAACCCAACCTTTATGCACAGAAACCTTGCAGGATCTCGAAGCTTCATTCTCCACTGTATCACACACTGGTTAATCATCAAAAACAGTGCAAAGGCGGCACAAAGTCCTCATGGAAAAATACTTAATCTTGTGCTGCCAGAAGTGACACAACTCATTTACCACTAGCAAATTTCTTATGCATCTACACAGGTCCCCTTCTGCACTTTGGATGGACCTAATTCAGGGCTGCCTTATTTTGTTTGTTACACAAATATTAGATTCAACTGTGAGAATGTACGCATGTAGTCCCTGTCACAGAGGCAAGGAAATAGTGCCTTACTCTAGAAGCCTGAAATCAAAGCTCTCAGAGTAAGAAAATAAGCATAATTATTTCTGATTTACAAATGAGGAATGCAAACACACAGAGACGGGGACTTCCAAAGAATCTACGGGCTGAAACAATCGGCGCATACCAACTTCCTTACTCTGCTTATGACTTGTAAAACAACTTTCATACTCCGCAGTCTCACTAGATTTAATTTTGAAGGCTATAGAGAAAGGAGAAAAGCCTAGTAGCAAGCTGGATCTGTACACAGAATATCTCCTAGCTCACCCTACAGAAAAGCACCTGTGCTTCTTCAGCTGTTTCCAAGCCAGCAGGTATAACACGGGGAAGACAGATCAAAGAGCCTATGCTGACAACCATCCAAAACAATGCATTCTGCAGCCAGGGCAATGAGCCAGAAAGGGAAAGTAAACAGAGGCCTTCAAAGAGCAACATGGGGCTGGACCAAGAAAACATGTAGGCTGAACAGTAGTGGCTCCACCGGGCAGAATTTTGACGGCATGACTCAGTTGGCCATAAATTTATAAGTTCCCACATTAAGGGTTTTTTTCCCCAACCTGAAATAGTTTGTGGTCTAGGGATGGGACAGGGAGCCAAGGACTCATGAATTCTCACTCCCTCTCCGACATAGTCTACTCCATTCCCTCAACTCTTGTGCCTCAAAATCCCATTACCTGTTTCACAGAAGTACTGTGAAAGTTACTGGAAATTTGTGGAAATTAGGAGGGACAGGAAGATAGACACATATGAACTATGACAGCTAATACTTCATTTGTTATCAAGTGTTAATCTTTAGTGATGTGTAACATGCAAATTTTTTCCCCATGAATTAACCCAAAATGCTTACAGCTGTAAGGAAAAGCTCATTATTATTATATGATACATTTCCACTCTCCAAAATACAAGTCACTTTGGGAAAGTATGCTTTTCATTCCTCGAACAGGGCTAAAAGGAAATAGTAAAAATATCTACTTTTTAAAGTAAATCACTGCCCACCCTGTATTTCAAATAACAATTACAAATGACTATTTACAATAAAAAGTTTTAAGTTACATTTTTGAGGACACTGTTTGCAGTTAGCCACGTTCCCCATCTGATACAGGTTTAAATAATGATTCAATATTCTTGAGGATTGACTGCTGAAGGGGCTGTTCAGCATTTGCAAGGCACGCTTGTGAGCTTTCAGGATGGAGTAAATTCAATGCGGATGATCTCTTAACAATTAAAAGACATTAAAATAAACACATTAAAAATAAATATCTCTTACCTATTAGTATCCTGCTCTTTGCAATGCCGTTTTTAATTTCATCATTGATCAAGTCTGTAAGTCTCTGGCACATAGAATCAATACTTTCCATGTGTTCTGGACAATCAATAGAGATCTTATACCTGTCAAACCACACAGTGGAAAAGGCTCCTTTCATAGGTGTATATGGCCTGGAGTGGTGGAAGGAAAAGAAAAGAGATGATTAACCAAGCATAAGATCAAAAGCCTTCAGCATACCTGATAAACAGACAATTCAGTTTCTCTTCAGTGAAGGAGAGAAGGAACCCCTTTTGGGTCTAACTCAATTCACATCCAGTCACATTGCATTTCCTTGCATTCAAAACGCTGTCCTTCAGGAACGAAGATAGCGTTTGGAAGCTGTATAAAATGCAAGTTTCAGTCAGTTCAATGTCAAGGTTGACCAGGTCAGCTGAACATTTTAAATCCTAACCCTGTCAAGAGGTTCTTAATCCTAAACAAAGTTAGGGTTGAAATCCACCTAGGAATAGGACAGACTGAAGTAACTGCTAAACAAGACAGCTTTGCAGGAGCTAACTTTATGGGATTCAGGGGTCTTATCCTTGTCAAAATTGACAGGAGACGGCTATCACGAACCTCTAGGTATTTACAAAATTTTCTTCCGTCAATTTTTTTTTTCTTAAATAAAAAGTCATCCTCACACCTTAATGGGGCAGGTATCTCATAAAAATAATTGAAAGAAATGCCATGTTGCTTACTGGATTGGTGCACAGACACAAATTAGAGACATAATACTTCCCCCTCGTAATACTGTGTTGTCAGATTAGTATTTTAAGTGCTTTAACATGCTGCCCAAACCTCAGATAATCAAGGAAGCTACAATTCAAAGCAGCCTTTTCTTTTGTTTTTGAATAAAGATGATGGATAGAGCCCTAAAATCCCAAGAAAGGTGATCTAATTGCCTTGCAACGGCTCTACAATTTAATACCAAACATACTGCTTTGAGATCGATGTTTCATCTCAAAACCAAGCCCCCTAAAATCCTTAATTGCAATGTTTAATCAGAGGGCACATTTTTCAGTTTTACTTAAGCTCAGATCAGATTACAATCATTGCCTACAGCCAGCCTTTGATAAATTTGTCTGGGTGGGAACCCACTGAAAACGCTAACATTGACTTCTGTGTGGATTTTTTTCAGTACTACAACTAAACAAAACCACAACTAACCTAAAATGAGAAAGCACCTATTTCAATTATTCTTAATGAAGGAACAAATTCTGCCTTTATTAATACCAGAGAGATTTCACATATGTAAATGGCTATTTCTAAACCATAAATACTGCCAGTAGTACGAGCGTACAAAAGGCAGTATACTATTTGCATCACTCAGTCACAAAGTCAAAAATGACAGAACACAGATTTTCTTCTGCCCAGTGACATGAACATGAAATAAATAAAGTCCATGACCTAAAAGCTAGTAAGCCAAATATAAAGAAAGAGGAAACAAACAGCAACAGATAGGTACAGACCGACTACACAGTTTCATCTTTTTGAGCACAGCTTCAGGTATGAGTCCCTAAAACCCACAACAATCTACTGTTATTCAAAATGGCATACAAGTATGTGGTCAAGTTTAATACAGTGTGTGCCTTAAGTTGGTCCTCATTTGCTTAATTCAAAACAAACCATATACTTAAGCACCAGAATTAACAAATTATTATTTTTTTTCAAGTTAGCCCTTACTAGTCTATTAAAAAAAGGTAACTCCTAAATTAAAGGAAATTCAGAGGAAATATTTTGTACACCCAACAAGCTAAAGCTACATTTTTAAAAAGTTATTAAAATGTTTTTGCTTTTTTTTGTTTGTTTGTTTTTAACTTCTCTTTAGTATTAACACTGTCTTCAGGATTCTTCCCAAATGAATTGATCAATCCCTGAGAAATAATATTACAAATCTCTAATTCACAGAAGTCAGTTCCTAAGAGGAGACATTCCAGTCAAGAATACCAACAGTGGAATCAGTGGAGTTTCTGGAAGTCCTTGGATCATGTGATGTACAGCAGACTAAGGGCTTGGATAAACAGCATTTAATTCACCATTTCAGCTTCTCTCTCAGCCACTTTTACATCAGTCCTGGTTAAAATGCGTAGCAGCCAGACCGCTTAATTTTCTAGTAAAACTAGAGTACCTTATTTTTGTGTGAGAAAAGATGTGTAAGGTTTTAGTACTATTACAGCAGCTTGACCCAGGATTTTCCTTGAAGATACAAATATGTATTACATTACAGAAAATTACAATTACTTTACAGAACTATTAAAACAGGTTTCCCCACAACTAGAAGACAGATTCATACGATTTATAAACAGGACAAAATACATCATGAGATTATAATATTTGATCAGACATTGAAACTCAGGCCTTTTACCTGCTCTCTTTGCAAATTCTTCAGTAAGATAGATGAAAGACTAATGTGTCTTATGGCCACAGGAAGACACCCCCAAGCAAACGGACAAGATGCTTTCAGCTGTCTCAAAAACATCCTTGCAACCACTCTTGATTTCTCAGAAATGCATTAAAAATAACCTTTACATAAAGCTAAGAAGTAAGATTCTTTCAATGGTTCACCCAACTGGCACATCTGTTTTAGTCATTCACCTTGTTCCTTAAATAAATCCCTTTATTAGCTGGCACACTACAACTCAGACATTACCACGGTAAACAAATATGTTTGGCATGGAACCATCTGTACAGCTCCAAGAACACAGAACAAACATTTTTCATACAATTAAACCACAAAAGAAAAATAATAATAATAAAAAAAATCCCTATGTTACAGTGACACGAGAGGCTGGACTGAAATAGACAAAAGCACAGAAATACAGAGTGGAGTGAAAACTCCATCTGGTAAGATCAGCATGGTCAGTTAAGGACAGTGTCAGACCAAACAGTCAGCTTTAAGTTTGGATTTTTTGCTTTCCTAAGTTTAATCAAAACCCCTAACATTAGTCTTGATGATTTTGTTCCTCTATGCCTCACTTTCTTTATTCTCTTTTTAAAATAATACTAAAAATAAAGCTCCATGTCTCTAAAACATGTGCTGTTGAAACTCAGAATGAAAATACACAGCCCCCCAACTTGTGTGTGGGGTGTTTTTGTTGGGCGGTGTGTTGGGGCGTGCATGTGTGTGTTTGTTTTGCTTGCTTCGGAGCACATAAAAGATTCAAATCTGTACAAGAAAACAAGAATCAAGAACGGTCTCTCTCGGCATACCCAACTTCCAAACTTGTACCCATTTCTAAGACACATTTGAAACACCATTTCCTACAAATTGAACTAACTCTCAACATTTAAAAATAAAGAGAAAAGACGACGTAAAGGAGACATGGCTAATATCAAACAGCATTAAAGAAATTGCAGGCACCCTGAGGAAAAGAATCTTTAAAACGCTTCCCAACATGCTCAAATCGCTCTAGACCATGTTTTCTGATTACTTTATAGGTCTTGTTTTTTAAGGGTGTGCGTTGATCTGCAACTTTTCTCACACATACACTTCTTGCATGAGACTGCAGTTTCAAGAAGATCCTACACACCTAACATACGGATGTCTTAAAAGGAAAATATAGCCTGTAATATCTCTCAAGTACTTATCATCCTTTCAATCTTTTAAACATGTATTCAGATAGAAGTAATTTTCACTGTTGATTTCACTGCAAAGTTTCAAAGAACGCCGATCATTTAAGTTTTCACATACTGAAGATAGGTTAGCTTCTGCTAATGTCAGTTATGTACTAACGATGAAAATATAGTGAAAGCAGGAAGCAGTAACACCATCTTTCTCCACCTTCCTGGAGCACAGATTATATACTCCAGACCTTCTTAATCACTTTTAGAATTGTGCTAAACAGTTTGAAATTATCTGAAGTTAACAGAAGTGGAGAGCAACTGAATGATGCTACACAAGGTTCAAATTCAGATCTAAACCCATGCCAAATCCTAACTCCAAAATGATGCTATTAGCATAGCAATTCACATAAAACTACAGGTGTTTTTATTCGTTATCCAATAAATCACTGTCCCTGTCCAATGTTTTAAGTTCAAAGACAAGCCAGCACTACTAGCTGCTTTAAATAAGAAACGTAAGAGTAGCAGACAGCACATTAATAAATAGTAAATATTCTTCCCCCAACTCCTTCTCCTGATACACAACTGTATCACTGCCTTCATGCTCAGTGCTAATGATCACCCTGCTAATGCAGTCACATAAAACCCAGACCACTGGTGCTGGCTTACAGCCTTCTTGAAGTTCCAGACAGAACTTCCCAAGACATCAGACAGAACTGGGAATTTATACTGAAGTTAGGCTTCAAGATTCAAAGAAAGAAAAAGATCAAAATTTTTGAAATCCTCACTTTTGCTTCCTTCCCAAACCCATCTCCCCTCAGTTAGGAGGCACAGAGTCACATGAGACATTGTAATGTTGTCTTTTGGAAGTCTATGCATCCCTTCGAGAAAAACTACAGAGCACATTGCCAGACTGCTTAAGTTCTAGAAGCAAGTCTTGCTATGCTAATAGCTTCATTTTGGAGTTAGGATTTGGCATGGTTTTAGATCTGAATTTGAACCTTGTGTAGCATTATTCAGTTGCTCTCCACTTCTGTTAACTTCAGATAATTTCAAGTCAAGACTTGACTCTCTTAAAGCCAATGGCAGGTTTTTCCAATGACAGCAAAGTTACTCCCCAGTCCCAAATTCTCCACTAGCATACTCTCACTGCTGGTACTAGTACACTGCAACAGAAAACCTGGTTCATAACTCTGCTCTTTAATTCCCACTGTCTGCTTGAGGCAGAAAGTGAATTTTAAAAGAAAAGGGGGACAAGGCAGAGAATCCACCTATTCAAATCAGTAGTATAATTCAAAGCTCTAGTCCAAGGTATATCGCACGCTAAAACTGTGGTTCAACACATCTTAAGAATGAAGCTTTGTGGTATGGTAACACAGCATAAGATGTGTCAGAAATTCAAACAGCTTAAACTTGGAAGTATACTTAAAAAAAAAAATAAAAAGGAAGGCAAGAATGATCTCCTTGAGGAGTAATTTTTTCTGTTTCACAGAACAACCTGTGTCTGTTCACTCAACCACACGCAAATGCTTTTGATAAGAGTTATTCTGGATATATATTGCCTGAAATG